TGGTGACGAACCCAGATTTCATCACCAACGTCGACGTCAAACAACATACTGCCTCTGTGCGCTACCACGGTTGCTTCAATCCAGTCTGGGAACTCCGCTCGATAATCACGGGCGAAGACAGGCGTTCCGATGGAGAGCTTGCTGCGAGAGACTGGAGAAGTCTGCGCGGGCTGCGCACCGGTAGGGACGAGGGCATGAAAAGTTGTACGCAGTTTTCGGCCCATCAACGCTTCGGCAGGAGAAACGCCACCAGGGGACGCCGGGTTCGGTGTTGTCCTGTAGGAATACAGGAATGCCTGGACTATCTCGTCCGTGGTCCCCTCCCCACGAGCTTTCAAGAGGGCTCTCTTAAACGTGTCGACAAAACGCTCCGCCTGACCGTTAGACTGAGGATGGTAGGGCGGGGAGCGAAGATGCTGGCGGCAGAAATCCTCAAACAACGACGAAGTAAACTGAGAGCCATTATCTGAAACCAGGACTTCTGGTAAGCCATGTTGGCTAAAGATGCGTCGTAGGAAGGCGATAGTGGAAGATGCGGTTGCTGGATTCAGCGGAGCAATCTCGGGCCATTTCGAGTAGGCGTCAACCAAGATTAGGTAGGAGACTCCGTTAAGTGGGCCAGCGAAGTCGATGTGCACGCGTGACCAAGGCCTCTCTGGTGGTTCCCAGGGTACTGGCGGTTGACGAGGCGGCATCTTGGCAGCTTGCTGACATCGAGAACAGCGTCGAACCAGGTCGTAGATGTCGCCGTCGATACCCGGCCAGTAGGCAAAACTGCGAGCAATAGACTTCATTCGGCTGGTACCAGGATGAGCCGCATGGAACTGGCGTAGTACAGTAGGTCGGAGGGAAGATGGGATCACCACACGGTCTGCAAACATGAGGCAGGAGTCAACCACAGATAGCGATGCTCGGCGGAGGAAGAGCTGGCGAAGATCACCAGCGAGAGCAGTGGTTGTCCAGCAGGTCTGCACGTAGGTGATGGCCTGGCGGAGGACAGGGTCCTGTTCAGTAGCACGTCGGATGTCCGCGGCAGTGACGGGGATACCTCGTACGGCGTCTGATAGCTGACGGCGCACATCGTCCTCAATCGAAATAGCTGCAATCACGGTATCTTCCTCCGGTTCCTGCTGATTGCTGATGAGGCGAGACAGGGCGTCAGCCTGACCAAAGTCTGTAGTACGACAGTAGCGAATG